GCCCGATGCATGGCTCGATCCCAGGACCTTGGGATCATGACCCGAGCCGAAGGCAGACACTTAACTGGCTGTGCCACCCTGGCGCCTCAAGAACGTTGCCTTTTAATGACTCTTAAAGGCAGAAGAAGATTTACAACTTGAAGAAGTACAGCTGAGGTTGCTATTTTACCAAAGAAGAGCTTGACCAATTTTCCTCTTAAATCCCACATTACCTATCCTACTTACTCAAACTGTGAGATAAATAGAATGGGATAGGATTATGGGAGACCTTGAGAATCTCGACTTGATGCCCTGGGATTTCAGAGTCCGGCAATGATAGAGTACAAGCTGATGGTTGCGTATAATATTACTTATGTGTGCTTTCTTTCCTTTTAGATGCTAAGTACCTCCAGAGTAGGGATCCTTGTCCCTTTCTTATGTTTCTCTTTGTTCTCCATATATCCATTAAATGCATGCTAACTGAGCGAAGAGCTTCTTAAATTATATTTTTGCAGGTTTTATTCAGGAACACTGTGCCTGTCACTCAACGTAATTTCAACTTTCCGGCTAAATGACTTTTGTGCCAGTGATACCGGAGTCCTACAGCCATGTTCTTGCAGAGTTTGAGTCTCTGGATCCATTACTTTCAGCCCTGAGGCTGGACTCCAGTCGTCTAAAGGTGAATTTCTTGATCCTTGTAGCTGTTTCATGTTCATATTTGTATGTTCTGTGTGCTCTTTTATATATGCTCCCTGCCCTGTAGTTCTTTCTGTTTGATGGAATCTTGGGTGTTCTTCCCTGTGCTAGTAATACCTTACATACAAGTAGCATGTTCATAGCTCTTTTTTTCTTTTTTTAAAGATTTATTTGAGAGAGAGAGAGAGCGTGTGTGCACGTGAGCACAAGCTAGGGGTGAGGCAGAGGGAGAGGGAGAAGCAGACTCCCCACTGAGCAGGGAGCCTGATATGTGGGCCTCGATCCCAGGACCCCGGGACCATGACCTGAGCCGAGGGCAGATGCTTAACCAACTGAGCGACCCAGGCACCCCTGTAGCTCTTTCTTGATTTACTTTTTGAGCTCTCATTTGAATTCTTCTTTCCCATCCTTGAAAACCATGGTACTGATTGCTGAATTTTTTTCCCTTCACAATAATCTGTTTTTTTCTCAGAAAATAATGTATTTGATTGAAAATAAAATAGTATAAACGAGAATACCGTGTTGCATTTTAAGCGACATGAACCACTGCCATTATACTAAGCTCATTCCAAAACAAGGAGTTTGATGTACCCTCCATTTTAGGAAACAGAGCAAAAGCTGTTAGTTCTGTGGGAAGAAGTATGTGCTCCCCTCAAACCCTGAGTTCTGATAAACTCAGGAATGACATGGTGAAGAAGAAAATCTTATAACCAATTCCAAAATAATTTCATTTTTATACTTCTGCTCCCCCAAGTACTTTTGTAGCCTCTGAGCAAAAGAATAAGACATAATAGGCAAAGTAAAATGAACAACGATCATGAGGGTTGATTTCAGTTAGACTTTTTTAACTGCACGTTATGGGATGTCCTACCTGGTGTAGTATGGCTTAACCAATAAAGGTGTTTATAACCCTGTTGGAAGCTATTGTTTCTGGGTTTAATGTAGTGGCCCAATGATATCACTGAGGTACCAGGCTCTCCATCTTTCCTGTTCTATCATCATCCATATATTGGTTTTTAGTCACAGTTGCAAAATAGGTGTCCTGGCTCCAGTCTTGATGTTTCCATTAGCATCTCAAGCAGGAAAGATGGGGCCACAAGCAGAGGCTGTCTTTTCTTTTTTCCCCCCTGGGTTT